GTTGGGGTTAAGTGGGTGTTAAAATGAAGGGCAAAAGGGACAATTTATATTGTTTGTTGTTTAAATCTTTGACCAACCCATTTTTTAAAAAAAAAACTTGACCCTTTTGAAATGGCTAACAAAAAACATTGTGAAACGTGAAAGTCATATGTTGAAATGTGGGACAATGTTGGCGGTCGGTGGGACAAACCAAGACCAAGTTTGAAATATTTGGCAAACATAAATATGTAAGGGGCTATCATTTTTTTCCGGAATAATACTTTTGATATACATATATGTTTTCCATATGGATCTTGTCTTTTATATAGGTTGATTCATGGATCACTCCCATTCACACTCATTCAATTCACCTCTGCTACATATCAAGGCGATGAAAGAATCTAATCTTAATGTTACAACAACATTGTACATGTACTACCACTGCATCCCTCATGCAAAATTATATATTCGCAACTTACCTTCAAAGGATGCCATAATGATTGCATGACTAATTGGGGCCTCTCTGCATGCCCAAATGTACGTATATACATGGTAGTGACAAGATATATAAAGATGATAAGGCAATAGTTGCTCCCAATGAAAAACCATAAAAAATGTACTAAGAAAAAACTTTCTTCCTATATCCTCGTCCCAATTTTGTTGGAGAAAAAACAAGTAATAAAAGATATGGCTTATGTTTTGTCTTAAATCAATTAGAATGTGTTATATCATAAGAATAATAAGTCTAATATATACATGTGCTCTTAAGATTTCTCTAGTTTATATGATTGCCTTGTATTCCCATATAATATATTTCTCTAGTTTATATGATTTTTAAAACAACAAACAATATAAATTGTCCCCTTTACTCTTAATTTTAACACCCACTTAACACCAAAGCTAACGGAGAATCATTTTGACTTAAAATTCAATAGTCAGAACCACTTTGGATGCAATTAAAAGTCAAGGAACTAATTTGATAAAAGGACATAGTCGGTTGACCATTTTGGAAATTAACTCTTAATTAAAAATGTATATTCACATTACCACTTTTGACAATATGAGAAAAAGTAAAGTGTAATAAACTATTTGAATATTATTATATTCAAGGAGTTAATTCCAGCAATGGTCCTCCGACTATATTGATTTTCCAAAATTAGTCCTTGACTTTTAATTTGGACACTTTAGGTCCCTTGACTTTTAATTTCTTTCCAATTGAGGTCCTTTCGTCAGAATATGGTTAATTGAATTTTAAATGAAGGGGTAAACTCGTCATTTCACATGCCTATGTATTATTCTTAGTATTTCTCCATTGTATACGCGATATATATGAAGATAATCTTAGTCGAAACTCTAAAATGTTCCTCGTCGTTCCCCATTTGCTGACTACTTGCGTGTGCGTTCCTTTATTATTGAGATGCTTACACGGTATAACAGCGAAATACGAAGAATAATACATAGGCAGGTGAAAGGACGAGTTTACCCCTTCATTTAAAGTCTAATAAACCGTATTCTAACGAAAGGACCTCAATTGGAAAGAAATTGAAAGTCAAGGGACCTAAAGTGTCCAAATTAAAAGTCGAGGACTAATTTTGGAAAATCACTATAGTCGGAGGACCATTGTTGGAATTAACTCTATATTCAAGCCTTGGTGGCGGGGACTTAAATTTTTTAGAATGAAAATGATTAAAAAAGTATAAAACAAATATTAGCTTATAAATAATCATGAGTATTTAAAAAAAAAAAAATCAAGTATTTATTTTTTATAAAGTTTTATGACGTGTAATTTGGGAATGACTTAAATAAGAGCTGTTCGAGATTAATTTAATGTATTCACAATCTATTCCATTCTTGTAATTTCACAACTCCGCCTAATGTCACATCAGAGTGGGAGTACATTTTGTAAATATATATCCGCTCTACCAAGTATGAATACTAACTAAATAATTAAACAATATATACAATAAATACACAGATTAAAAATTAGGATGAGTGTTAAAACTAAATACAATTTATACTTTATTCGTCATTCTTGCAATTCACAACTCATCTTGGCCCCACCTTGAAATGAGTGTATTTTAAAATTTTGCATAACTTACATGGAGTGAACACAAACTACTATTTTTCATCTTAATAAAAAATTCAAATTAAATAACACAAAAGAAATAAACTAAATAAAGTTTAGAATCTATTATAAAAATTAATATAATATAAATATTATAACATAATATCTTAATTGTTCAAAATTTTAAACGTAAATAAATATTTATCAAATTTTTAAATAAATTTCATTCATTATCCAATATTAAAGTTAATCGTTAAAATATTGGGTGTACCAAATTTTATATGGATGGTGTGTGTATTTATGTGTATATACATTATTTTTAATATATTACAATGTATGTAGTATTTGCCCATACATATTTTCTCAAATACAAATTTTAAAATCTACCACAACCCACCATTTACATACTAGGCATGTATTTATAAGTTTTTCTTTTATTGACATTCATAAATATTGTTAGAAAATGTAATGTTCATGAATATAATTAAAAATAACCATTTATAACGTAAAGTAAATGTCTATAGTTGTTTGATATTATTCTCAAAAGAGTAAATACCCAAAACGGTCCCTCGACTATAGCTAAATTCACAAATCGGTCCTCGACTTTCAATTTCAACCAATTAAGTCCTTAACTTTGTAATTTTGACACGATTTGGTCCTCCATCTATTTGACCGTTTGTTGACTGTGATCGACGATCTCCAGAAGAACCTTCAGCTCTCGTCGGAGCACGTGGAGGCCTCCAGGATGACGTTGCACTGGTTCGAAAACACGTCGTCTTCTTCGCTCTGGTACGAACTCAACTACATTGAATCTGAAGGGAGGATGAAGAAAGGCGACCGGATTTGGTAGATTGCTTTCGACAGCGGATTCAAATGTAACCGTGCGGTCTGGAAATGCAACCAGAACCTTAAAAAACCGACAATGGACCATGCAATTACATATATATCCTCAAAAATCACAGTCAACAAACGGTCAAATAAACAGAGGACCAAATTGTGTTAAAATTACAAAGTTAAGGACTTAATTGGTTGAAATTGAAAGTCGAGGACCAATTTGTGAATTTTGCTATAGTCGAAGGACCATTTTGGGTATTTACTCTTCTCAAAAGGTTGAATCCCCAACTCCAATGATCCCCCACATCTTGACCCAACAAAGCATCTCGTATTACTTAATAATTTTGAACTTGGTCTTAATTAATGCAATCCGAATGTTTTTACATTAAAAACATTCTCATTAATACATTTGACAATGTAATAAAAGACTTATTAGATGTTACTGTGTAATAGAATTTTATTATGTGTAATCTAGGGATGACCTTGTTCCGAAGTAGCCTGTGATTCATTGATTGCATTCCTGTATTTGTTCCATTATTGAAATTGAAAGTCTGATTTAGCCTGGGGGGAGGGGTTGAATTAGGCAATTAAAATTTTGTGCTAAGATGCCAAGTGATATTTAAGATGCATGTGTAAGTGTGGAAATAATAAGCAATTTAAAAGATATAAAATAAAATAGTAAAGAGAGGGAAAGAGTAAATCGTTATTTTATAGTGGTTCGGCAACCTGGCTAATCCACTACCGAAGGACTCATTCCTTATGATTTCCTACTCCATTAATTTCAGGTCCTCTTCGTCCTTGGGGCAAATTATTGTGTGGACCATAACAAAAAGTACATTTTTAATATACTAAATGTATATTAGGATTAAAAAGGATAAATAGCTCAGGCCTTCAAGATTGAAGGCAAAGATTATAAATATGAAGGTTTTGCTCTTCTTTGTCTATAGAAACTGTACAGGATGGGAGAAGATGATTAACCGAGTTGATGATGATTCCTGGAGTGACCCGTTGTATTTATAGGCAGGAGATTTGGAGCAGACGGCCGGTGAGGAGCTGAGCTTGCAACGTTCAGATTCCAACGGGCATATTTCGACGTTCTGGTTCCAACGGGAGGATATCACGCACGGGTTGGCTCACGGGCTTTGCAGTACAGTCGCTGAACCCGCACAGCAAGCTACACTGAATTACATTGGGCTAGAGTACGTCACGGGCTCCTTAACATGTCCAAGGAACCAGTTGAGGTAACGGGTTTGTGGAACCCGTTGTTCCTCAATGGGTTCCATGGGCCCGTTGAGTAGCTTGCCTCTAAACAGGGCTCCTCACGTGGGGGAAACGGGTTCATTGAACCCGTTGCTCTAATGCAATGGGTTTCATGAACTCGTTGCACGTCCCGTGTATCTCAGGTTGCATTTTGTCTATTGTGTTTTTTCAAACTCCATTCTACAAATCATTCTGTGCAAAAATACAACATCCTGAACACTCCAATATTTTTGACCTTTTACACTTGGATCTTAACTCTCGAGCTCTTCTTTTTTCAATCTTTGAAAGGTTGCCTTTTGTTATCAAGTATAGAACTTTTGGATGATTGATATTGGAGAGTAGAGTTCTTCAAATTAATTCCTGCAACTACAAATTAAAAACTCTCAACTACTTATTAGATAAACTAATTTGTTATCATCAAAAGCAAGACTAGATGACACAAGGTCAACAGTAATTTCACAACTTATCTCGAGGTAAATGTACATTTTTAAAGCTTTGCATCTGCTCCACCAAATGTGATATACTAATTATTTTTTATCTTAATAAATAATTCAAAAATATAAAATAAATACACACTAAAATTCAAAATCCATAACAAAACAAAATATAAAATATAAATACTATAACATAATAGCTTAATTGTTAATTTTTTTTTTAGAGTTAATTGAAGCAATGGTCCCCTAAGTATGGTGAATTTTCATAATTGGTCCTCAACTTTTAATTTGGACAATTTAACCTCCCGACTATCAAAATCTTTCCAATTGTGGTCGTTCCATAAGATCCGGGTTAAGTGGACGTCAATTTGAAGGGTAAAACGTCATTTCTCATCTGAGAGTATATTTCATCTTCATTCCCGTCTGAATTAGTATGTCCACGCCGGAAATGTTGCATCGTCTTCCCTCGGCATGGCATCTATAACATACATGTTTCCACTGTCATCCATAGCTAGCCCTTTTGGGTGGTTCATCCTTGCCTCTCTCAGCTTCCCATCCACATGCCCAGAGCACCCTTCAGGTGATCCAACGGCCAACATAGGCCGGCTATTTGCAATGGCAAACAACCTTGTACATAATGAACAATAACTTGATGAAAAATTGTCAAAAAAAATTCTCGAAATTGGCATGGCCTGGGCAATATCTTACACAGAGTGTGGTGTTGTGATTTTGTAAATGTTGTTGTTTTCAGAATCCAAAATGAAGACCTCTACGGCCAGCGAAACCTCCACAGAGTATGGCTCAACTCCCAATTTGTTTTCTTCAAAGATACTTTCAATATTGTATCCTTTCTCAAATTTTATCCTGGAAAAAGCTTTGAAAGGCAAGGAAAACCAGATCTTTAATTGCTGCTACACAAACAAACAGACAAAGGGGGAAATTCTTAAAAGGCTTCTCTTTTCACTTGGTTTCATCTCAGATTTTAGCGACACCAAGCATTTGAAAAGAGCAGCGACAACATTCGTGACAACCCCACATACCACTTCTGCATACATACGGAAAACAAATGAAAAAAAAAAAGACAATAAAAATCCAAACTTGGGTCATGACAAGAATGCAAAATGCACTTACTTGTAGTAGCTGTTGCTGAAGCTAACGAACATCCAAGAATAAAAAATCTCGTCTGGGGTCTCCACCATCGCGCCGTTACGCCGGACAGCAACCATTACGAATGACCACCACCATCTGCCGTCATTACCGCCTAGCCACGCAGTCCATGTGGTCAGCTCTGCTGGACCGTCGACGAAGAGAAGACGGAAGAGGGAGGGAGAAGAGAGGGCGTGAGGAGGGAGGAGGAAAGTGACCAAAGCCGTTTTTTAGATTTTTGTGGTCCTGTTCTACTAAATAAATGAGGCCCTACCAAAATCACAATCTTTAAAACCAATACCTTAATTTTTTTTAATAATAATAATAATGTGGTAAAATGTTACTGTGCGCAAAGAAAAAGCAAAAGACATATTATGGAATAAATTATAATTGATAATTATAATAATAATAGTGTACGCAAACTCGCAATGCAAAAGGATTAAAAAAATAGGGAAAAGCTAAAAGACATATTATGAAGCACACAAGTTTCGAACCTTTGGCCTTCAAGTTAAAATTACAATAAATACATATTCCTACAATTTCTTCATGAAACCTTTTAAAGCAAAGTGAAAACCTTTAATTTTTATTTCTAAACTAGTTAGGTAAAGATTAAATATTAGACCTCTAAAATTTGGGGGCCCCTCTAACATTTAGGGCCCTGTGAGGTAGCCCAGCTTGCACAGCCTAAAATCCGGCCCTGAAAGTGACGAAGGTCCATTGTCTTGTCGCCGGAGAAGAAGAAGAAGAAGAAGAAGAAGAAGAAGAAGAAGAAGAGGATGGAAGGAACGAAGATAGTGTAGAGGAAGGGCTGCCGGTTGTGAGCTATGGAGGGTTGCCGGCCATGTCCCCCAGGATTTCTCGTCTAGATATGCATTGTTTCTGGAGTGGACATAATAATTCAGACGGGACTCAGTATTGGAAATGACGCTTTTACCCTTCAAATTGACGTCCACTTAACTCGGATCATACGGAAAGACCACAATTGAAAACATTTTGATAGTCAAGTGGTTAAATAGTTCAATTAAAAATCGATGACCAATTATAAAAAATCACGATACTCGGAGGACCATTACTGGAATTAACTTTTTTTTTTAAACTATATATTCCATTCTTTTAATTTCACAACTCACCTTAATGTCACATTGGAACGGGTGTACATTTTAGAAATTTGCATCCGCTCCACCGATTTATACATCTCAAATCAATTTATTTAGCATACCACAATTGAAAGAGGCAACTCAAGTAATCAAAATTTCCAACCCAAATTTTCTACTTCCCAAATCAGTTTTTCTTCTTCCCAACCATCTACACAAAATTTTGCATTTATCCCACAAGTCCAAAATTCTCAAATTCCACATAATTTTCAATTTTTGAAATTTGCACATATTTTCTAAAATTCTCACATTGCACAAGCTTCACAATTTCTGATCAAAATTCAAAGTGCCCAATTTCCATATAGCATGCAATTTTTTCAATTTCTGACATTTTTCACACAATCTGAGAATGATGTAACAATAATTCCACCATCAGCCAACTCGGGAGGCATAGAAGACGACAAGATGTTGACACATGCTTATGCGAAAATCTCACAAAATTAAAATGTTTCCGTTGACCAAACGGGTTCAACATTTTGAAAGCGCGTTGAAAAATATTACAATGTCAATCACCCCAACGATGGGCCAAGCAGGACGCACGAAATTGACGAAAGGTTAAAAGCACATTCGAGTCTAATTCGTAGATTGATCCTTGAATTTCATTCCATTTATTGTAAGTAACAAGGAATGCGCCCTAGTGGTTCTAGCGATACCAATATTATGATATAGTATGTACTACGGAAGAGTATAAACAAAAATATGGTTGAGACAAATTTGACTACGAACACGTATGGGCCATTTGCAAAGACCTTATAGGATGGGCACGGTACCCTCATTTGTAGATTGTCAACTCTCCTTAAGTAAATCATCCACCAATCAAATATCAAGCGAAAGTGTAGAAAGTAGTGGAGGTGATAGCAAAGAAGTTTTTCCTCAACCGATGGGGAAAAAGGCAGCGAAGCGAAAAGTCAAAGAACGCTACACCGATAATGATATGATGATGATGATGATCATGCTATACAAGTATCATTACAAAAACAAATAGAAATGGTAGAAAGATATCAAAAAAAAAAAAAAAAAAAAAATCAACACGACGAAAGGAAGGAGAGGAATTCGCAAACATATGCAAAAGAAATTGATTTGAGAGAATATGAAATTTGATTGAGAGAATGATATATTGTTGAAGGACACATCGGACACATACACTATTGTAATGGGAATAGACAACATAGGCAAATGTAGTCGTATGTGATAGTTTTATAATTTCCTTTTTTTGTAATTTTATTTTTAATTTTATATTCTTCTAATTTTTAATTTTATATTATTTGTAATTTTATATTCTTGTAATTTAAATTTTATATTCTTTGTAATGTTATTTAACTTTATTTGTAATTTGTTTGCACATTAATTTTTTTAATCACCTTTGCAGTTTAATTTTTAAACAATTGATTTTCATTTTAAAATAATTGGTAGGTTAATTTTATTTTGTAATTATCATTTCAATTAAATGTAGATATGTTTATTTTAATTAATTAAAATATAGTAGAGTAATTAAATGGTGGGTACACAAAAACTAAGGAAAAACCTTAAACTAATGGGGAGAAGGTTTTGAGATTGAGAGTGAGATAGTGGATTATGAGGTATATGCTGGGACCCACAAAAAACTTATGAAAAAGCTCAACTATTGAGGTTGCTCTAAGTCAATGACAAATAATTTATAAAATGTACTACTTACTAATACATTTTTTTAATATATATATATATATATATATATATAAATTATGTGTACATAAATACACTAATATTAATAACATATATATACTACGCGGGCTTGATGGGCCCCGCCAGTCGGTCAATCCCGCCATTTTGGCGGGACAGGCTAAAAAATTCGTCAAAATATGAGCCATAAATTTTAAAGCCCTCTCTATTCTATTGGCAGAGCTGAACGAGTTAACTCGACAGGCTAAACCCGTTTTGACAACTCTAACATTGATTTGTTCTCTTAACTACTAATTTAATCATTTTTAACTTTTAGATTCTAGCCATCGTTTTTCATCAGCTTTTCGAGTAAGTTTTAACTTTCAATAAATTCCAAAGAAGTTTATATCTTTGAATTGTTTTAGGGTCTTTATACTTTTAGAGGTGTAGAATGTCCTTAGAACTGTACAAGTTTTGGTGGCATTGAACGACTATTTTTTTTTTCTTTTATTTTGATCTTTTATTAATACTAGTATTTGCACCCGTGCGATGCACGGAATGAATTTGTTGTAATATATTAAGAATATATGAATTGATATATAGTTATTTAAATTAGAACATCAAATATTATATAGTGCAATTAAAGATATGGTTTGGATCGTTTATATATTTTGATGTTATCATTGCTTGAATTTGTGAAAATAATTGCTCAAATTAATAGCTAATGTCTAGATGTACGCATACGGTGCTATAACTTTGAAGATTTTATTTATCATTATTTAGAATTTTCATAAATTAGGCAAATGTGCTCGTTCTCTAACAACTCAGTTATAGAAATGAATTGGTATCCTTATTCATTTGTATGGAAGATATATATTTTTGTCTAGATATATAACAATTTTTTCATTTAAAAAAAAAATTTAATATCACCGATTATATTTACACATTATTGAAACCTCTTTGTAGACAACATTGGTAGTAACAACACAATCTTGTTCATCTTCATCTAGAGCTAACACCTTCAATCCATCAAGATGAATTACTTGGATTAAAATATATAATGGTAGAATATTACTCAATTAGTTATCATTTTATATTTTTAGTCAATTAGTGATATCGAATTCATTTTAAGCCAATTATTCTTTTTTATTTTCAGTCAATTATCAATTAGAATATCAAATGTAGTGATATTTTTACCTAATTTTTGTTCCATTTTTAATTGATGATGTAGATATTATTATTGCAATATTTCCGTTTCATTTTTAATTTACATTTACTATTGTTTAAAATGTGCATTTACTATTGATAATATAGAATATTATTATTGAAATATTTTTCTCCAATTTTTAATTTTCATTCCATTTTTAATTAAAATGCAATAATCTGACCATTTCTTTTTTTTTTTTTAGTCAATTATGGAGCATTTTTTATTTGCAGTCAATTATTAATATTCATTTTCTTTTATATTTTCAGTCGATTAGCAATATTAGATTCATTTTCAGTCAATTATTTTTTTTCAGTCAATTAGTCAATTAGAATATAGATGTATTGATATTTTTACATAATTTTCGTTACATATTAATTTGATGATGTAGAATATTATTAATGAAATATTTTCGTTCTATTTTTAATTTACATTTACTATTTTTAAAATATGACTTTACTACTTGGTGATGTAAAATATTATTATTGAAATATTTTCTTTCTATTTTTAATTTTCCTTTACTTCTAAACAAAAAGGGGAAAAAAAAAAACTTTGGACTTCTCACTACTTGCCCACATTGATGGGCAAGCAATTATGTTCATCTTTCCAAACATTTTCAATGTGAGATTAAAATGATTTCACATCATTCTTCTTGTTTTTTTCTAATTTTAATTTTATTTTGTAATCATTTTGTTTGGATTATTATTATTATTATTATTATTATTATTATTATTATTATTTGAATATTGACGATTTAAAAAAAAATTGAGATTGAGAAATTCACCAAAATTTTAACAAATTATTATTATTATTATTATTATTATTTGATTATTGACCATTTTAAAAAAATTGAGATTGAGAAATTCACCAAAATTTTAACAAATTAACCATTTTAACAATTTATCTTTAATCAAAAAACTAAAAATATTATTTAATAACTTAGTAATTTGCTCTAAACTGCTAAAAACTCAAACAACACATCTACATTTTGGGTTAATCTTTCCCAAATCCCCTAATAAATTAAAAAAAAAAAACTAAAATAAGAAGTCACTAAGATAAGGTTTATTATTGTTGTTGTTGTTGT